TGAAGATCCCTCGTACTTAAAAATTGCCTGTAAAATCAAAACTTTGTTTGCGATAGAGTCTTTGCATGAATGTGTTTGGATGAACTCATTAGCCCTCTTCATCATAGCATCCTTCTCAACCTCAATAGGACTATAAATCAAGGGGTTCAATATAACTAGTAGCTTTAACTAGTTGTGGTTACTCTGACCACAATTCCAACAATTGTCCCAAAGGCTGGTCCTCAAGCCGTAGTGTCCCCATATCCACTTTGAGATAATAGTCCAAGTTGCCATCATGGTAGAAGGTATGCGCTTATACTTTAAAATTGGTTCCTGATTTACTTTCCTTGACACCCTATTGCAAATCAGAACCTTTCTCCCTCAACTCTTTTATTCTCAAACTCCATCTGCCTCCTCGCAACAATATTTTCTGTGCTAAAATTGATTTCAAGAAGCATTTTTTTTTTAAATAGATAATTTATTCTCCACATTCTAATTCGAAAAAAAAAAGAAAGAATACCTTCCTCTTTCATTTATTTTTTCTTTTTGAATTCATTTAGTCCAAAGTTATTCTTCCCTTCTAATGGGATCAGACAAGAGTGCCCTCTATCCCCTTAGCCCTTCTGTTTTGTGATAGATGTGTTCTCCCAATTATTGGATGGCCTTACTAAAAGAATCCCATTTTGGGTTGAGATCCAGCAATACTTATCGCCCACTTATATGTTTGGAAAGCTAATAATATCAATGTCCATCATCTCAACAATTATCTCAAGGACTTTCATTTGACATATGGACTGAACTTCAACCCCCAGAGAAGCTCCATCTGCTTTTCAAAAGCAAACAAAAATCCCATTTTCCTCACCAACATTTTTAACCTATACAGTACTCACCTCCCTCACATAGTTTGGCTTATATCTATCCTGGTTCCATATGCAATACATAGATTTCATCCCTCTTGTTAATAAAATCCAAATCTTGCTTGGTGAGAGAAAGGCTCAGCTCCTCTCCTTAATTGGCAGACTTAAACTCACCAAGCAATATATTTGGAGTCTTATTGCCTTCAGGTTTAATCCCTTTTTATTCTTATTAATGTCAGTAAAAATTTGAATCTATTTGCTCCAAATTTCTCTAAAACAGTTGAGCTACCCATATAATGCAACTCTCTTAGGCCAAGACTTGAAAACCTCAAGGGGGTTTGGGTCTCCTGTCCCTCTCCATCCTCAACTTCGCCAGTAAACCTACCAAATGTTATCTAGAACCACTTTGAGTCGCATTGGATTGGCTGAATGATTTACTGCCGTGAAAAATTGGAAATTTGGAATTACTTATCATTTGGTGTAGAAGAATAGTTCCTATGGCCTTTTTGATTACTTGGGGCTATTTTGATGTTCTCCATCAGACTAGATGCTTGCCAGATGCTTATTTCTTCAATTTCAGTTACATTTTCTTCAATCGTGCTTTGGTTCTACAAGCCTAATAAGATCAACCACGTTGTCGCGTTCACGAAATTCATGACAACGAGTCTCCATTCGATTGACGACAGATATTGATGAAGCTCATTCCAAATGAATATTGATGAAGCTCATTCTAAGTCATTTCGGATTTTTTTCAGCCCATGTGCTGATGATAGTTTTTGTCATTCTATTAAGTTTTTATACCCTAATTTTGTTTTGCTTAAGCTGCCTCCCCGCCAGGCTCTCTGTGTTCTTTTTTTATTTATTTCTTCTATTTATTTATTAATAAAGCCTGCCCTCCCCTCCCATCCCACAAAATAAAAAAAAGAAGAGAAGAATTATGAAGCTTAACCTGAGTATGAGAGCTTTTTCCAACGTGAGGTGCAGCTGACACAAAAGCTGCATCAGAAAACAAATCAACCTCAGGTGTTTCAGTAGAACTTAAGGTTGTTGAGTCGGTTGGCATGGATGTCGGTGCATCCAAAAGGTCACCCACTAAGCTTTCTCCAAATAGATCCACTTGGGCTGAATTTATATTAGTTGTTTCTGCAAAAAATTGAGGAAAAGAATCCCATAAGAATTTAATATGATTGTTTCATGTTCAAGTTATATTCATTTCTGAATCATCACAATAAAACCACAACTAATTCAGGGACAGTTAGGCTGTTATTTGCAGTATAATAACAAGCAGGAATGAAAGGAAAGTCAAGAAGGTAGAATAGAAAAGAATAAAACAGCATCCCGGTAATAATGGCAAGAATCTGCAATGGATCAATGCACACCGTCACTTTTAAATCAAATGTAAAATATAGAACTAAATGCAGATAAGTGCTTAGTTTACAGAAATTCGCAATTGAATCAAGCAGTGAAAACACTGAAAATAGACAATGCAAATTAATAAATTGCATCCGATTACTCTGTAAAATGTGCAAACAGAAAATTCTATGAATTTCAGAATACCAACCAACTTTCGTAGAAGAACCACGTGGATTAAAATCATCAAACTCGTCATCATTACTCTCTATCTTGGCATTTGGGCTTGCAGATGATACTCGGCTTAGGCAAGGGCTTCGCTGAAACTTTTGGTTGCTGTTAAGAATTCCATAAGCAACATAAGTAATTGAAAGTTGAATTAAAAAGATTAGAGAAGGGAAAAAAATGGTAGAGTTGGAATATTTAACAACCTAATAAAAAACTGTCCATATTCAGTGTATATATGCATACTTACAAACATATATATTAATATATATATATATATATATATATATATATATATATATATATATATATATATGTTTAAAAAAAAATACTATCAAGGGCAGCGCAGGTCAGCATGATTAGCTATTATAAGAAATTTAGTGAATCAAGGATGATCAGATGAAATAGCTATGCTTATAGTTCATCTGCATCACAAATGTATAAAATATTTAAAAAATTTTGGTTGGAAACATCATATTCATACACCATAAATTTCCAAAATAGAATACAAGGGTCATTTTGAATGAATTCATTTTTTTTAACAAACAAATTTTATCAAAATTCAATAATAAAAAGAGTACAACATAAAGTAATAACAAAGCATTGCCAAATTAAATGAAAAAAAATAATAACAGAATACATCAACATAACCAAAAGAAAAGAAAAATCCCTAAGGGCTACGTTAAAAACATCAAATTTGGAGCTGGAAAATTTTCAAATTTCTTCCTCTTTGAACACACAGAATTTGAATTTTGTTGTCCACAAGCTCCTTTGTGCAAATGCTAACGTAGAGGCCACAAAAACCACAATTTTTTTTTAAGAACAATAAAGATAGGAGTATACCATGGGCAATTATAAGGAGTTTCCATCCAAAAAAGACGAGTACAGCCGCACAAAAAAGAGAAAAAAAAAAGTATTCATCTTGATTGTCTGACTTGAAGCCTAATGAATAAAGGTGAGTGCCGATAGATTTTGTCATGATTTCAACCCTATAAAGTATAAAGAATATGAAATGTATTATCCACGACATTGTCAATACCATGAATGGTTCAATAAAAACTAGAAATATGTTGAGATAAATAGTTTCCATTTTGTTCACAAGTGGAAAAGAGTTGAGGTGTGATAGGTCATCCAGGACAGCTAAAGGTTAAAGTTTCCTGATTCAAATTGCTTCAAGATACATGAAAGCCCTTCCATCAAATCAATAAAATCAACCACATATCTCAATGTATCGATCAAGATCTGAAAGTCAAGCTTAAATCATACTCAACAACATTCTCAAAAGCATTCTATTGCTCAATTCCAATCATCGACCACATGAATCTCAAAGCTCTCATCAATCCATCCATCACCTTCATGGGTAGAATAATAGTATAACATGGATCTTGGAGGCAAAGTGTCTCACCTTTTATCCTTTTGCCAGATGACCAAAATACCTTCACCTAGGGAGCTTCCATCCAGCATGGATCTTAGAGACAAAGTGTCTCCAACATCACCCATACTCACCAAAATAGTAAACTACTCTTCACCCTAACCCCTATGAATGCCCCATTCTAGGAGAAGATAAAGAGTTTCTAACTATACACTCATTCCAAAACAATGAGGAGGGCTCTCCTTGAGCAATCACTCCCCATAAGAAAGGAGAACCTTTGTTGAATGAAATTTAGTTTTCATCCATTTTTAAGCTTACTAGCTAAGTTGAGTGTTGGAGCGTCTTCTAGAGAATAAAACCCCCATATGGGCCTGCTGACCGCTTATTTTGTTGAATGTGCCTAGGACAAGGTAACAAGCTCAAAGCAACCCGTCAACCCAAATCATACCAACACTCAAATATCATTTTCAGCATGAAATAGATGATATTTGGTTTTGATGGTTATTTTGTATCCAATTGCTTTTTTTTTTAAATGTCTAAAATAGGTTTCATTGGCCAAAAATCAAACCAACCAAATTTTTTAAAAACTAATAATTAGTTTAGTGCAATTATATATATGCTTTAAGTTTTTAACAAATCAATATGAATCATTTCACCATAAAATAAAGATTACGAAATACTGCTAATATAGAAGACAACCTTTTAAAAGTTATTATTGATGAATGATGCACCATAGCACAAAGACTTTCTATAGCCGACAAGGGCATGATGCAAAACATAACGCTTGATACGTCAACAAAAATCTCCTTGATTGAACACAAATCTCGAGGCATATCAAAGTTGTAAACTTCTCAAATTAAATTTGGGACCATCCAAACTTTGATTTTAATTTTAGCAATCTTATAGTCAAACTGAATGTATCGAAGAGACGAACTCAACGACACCACAATCGGTCTAATCCGAGCCCAAATGGGTCCAAATTAAGAGTCTGAAGCGTATTCGGAAGGTTTAAAACATTAATTGGATGACAAAATAATATCCAAATATAGCAAGCACATAGTCAAATCGAGCGGCCTGGCAAGGTGAATCCAATGAGCCCAAGATCGCTGAACTCTGACATCATTAAGGAACTTAAGCACTTGAAAAATGCTCTATGATATGGGGAATAAATACGGGCCATCTAATGGAGCACTCGGAACAAGCCCCAAACCTTTTCTAATTTATGGAGTGTGCTACTCAGAGAGGAGGGGGGGTGGTTTGCTACAAATTGGAGTGAGCTTTGAGGCTTCAAGATCTCCAGCACAACCGTCGACAAACCTGCATCGATGGTCACTGGAGCACTGCCAGGCAGCCGACCGCCGCCAAATTTCCTCTCGACCATCATTGCACCACCGCCAACCGCCGCCAAACTTCCGCCCGACCATTGTCAAACCATCGCCCTTCAGCCGACCGCCAATAAATTTCCACCCAACCATCGTCGAAGCACCGCCGGACTTCCACCAGGCCATCGAACTTCTGCCCGACCATCGTCGGACAACCGCAAAACTTCCATCAACCGCCTGGCTGGCAACTGCCGCCGGACTTTCGTCTGACCATCGTCGGACCACAGCCCCACCACCAACTACTATCCCTCTAACTAGTATCCCTCTAACCACTGTTGCCCGCCGACTACAGTCCCTCGGACCTTCGTCGCCAACTGATTATTTTCCATCTAATCTCCGTAGCCCGCCGACTATTGTCCTTCAGACCCCCATCGCTTGCTAACTATGGTCCCTCCGACCACCGTCACCAGCCGACTAGAGTTCCTCTAACTTCCATCGCCCGCAGAATATAGTTCCTCTTACTTGCATTACCAGATAACTATGGTCCCTCAGACCTCAATCGCCCGTCGACTATGATCCCTTTGACCTCCATTGCCCGCCGACTACGATCACTCCAATCTTTATAGCCCATCGACTATAGTCCCTCCGACCATCATTGATTGTCGATTACGATCCTTCTGACGTCCAACGCCCATCGATTATAATCCCTTCGACCTTGTTGCTCGTCGATTAAGGTCCCTTCGACTTCCGTCGCCCGCTGACTAAAGTCCCTCCAACCTTCTTCACTCGCCGACTACGGTACCTCTGACCTCTATTGCCCACTGACTATGGTCCCTCCAACCACTATCGCTCGCTGACTATTGTCCCTCCGACTTCCATCGCCTGCCGACTACGGTCCCTCCGACCTCCATCCCTTTCGACCTCCGTCTCACGCTGACTATGGTCCTTCGACCTTCGTCGCCTGCTGACTTGAGAATGGCTTCTTTATGATTGGATTTTTCTAACTCTAACTATGTAATGTGTTTAACGGTGTAAGTGAGCCAAGCCGGCTCGCGAGTTGGCTCGAGCTCGACTCGTTTATGGGCTCACGAGCCGAACTTATTGAGCTCACGAGTCGAGCTCGAGCTCGAGTTTGAGCTCGTTTAGTAAACGAGCTCGAGTTCGAGCTTGAGCTAGATCGACTCGTGAGCTCGCGAGCCAGATCGAATAAATATTTATGTAAGGGAAAGAGCTTTGAGACTTCAAGAGCTCCAACACAACCGCCGACGAACCTGCGTCGATCGTCACCGGACCACCGCCGGACTTCCCCCCAACCAACATTGAATCACCGCCAACTGCTACCGAACTTCCACCCAACCATCGTAGTACCACCGAACTTCTATTTCCCGCTTACTATGGTCCCTCGACCTCTATCTCTCGCTGACTACGATCCCTCTTATCTCTGTTACCTGCCGACTACGATCCCTCCGACCAACGTCGTCAGTCAACTACGATCTCTCCAACTTCCGTCGTCGCCGACTAGGATCCCTCCAATCTCCGTCGCCCGCCAACTATGGTCCCTCTAACCTCTGTCGTCCTGCCAACCATATGAAGAAGCCAACGTTCACTTGAGAATGGCTCCATTATCATTGGATTCTTCCAACCCAACCATGTAATGTGCTTTATATAACACATTAAACCAAAGCCTTCCCCCCGGGAAGGGCATCATCTGTAATCGACTACAAAAACTAGCATAATCATTTCAACTGGGCAAGGCTCCGTGATTTTTCCCCTTTTCAGGGTTTTCCACGTAAAAACTTTGGTATCTCTTATAACTCTCGTACCCTCTTTCTTTATTTGTATGTGTGCTAGATCTTCATTCAAAGCTAAGACATTAAGCTCTTTATCTCTCCACTGCCGTGAATGTTTCAGTCCACAACAATGCTATTTTATTATAAAAGCACCAATGTCACATAAAAAGAATATATAAATAATTCAAGACATGAGATGAAAAATCATAATAGGGAAAAAAAGTTAACTTTTGCTTTAATTTTGTGACTTGTAATACTAGATCAAAATGAAATAAATTTAATTTAATTCAAATATATAAAAAGTTTGAGGACATCTCATCTATTGCAATTTTCTAAATGAATTTAACACTTTGCCTAAAAATGCTTGTCCTGAAGTTGGGGCCATTTCAATTCATTGTCGTGTTCCTATAAGTAATTAGTGACATGACGAAATTCCCAAGCAGCTTAAAGCACTTGCAAAATGTTGCAAGTTAGAACCCAAAATCCACGAATGAATAACACAACGATAAAAGTTGAAACTGAAACAAATTTGGTAATAATTGCACCTGGCACTATGCAACATGCCCTTCTTCAGTCTGCTACCTTCCTTTTCTTTCGAAAAGCCTTCATTAGACTTAGTGTGTCCATCACTGCCTCCATGATTTTGCTTGCCATCTCTAAAGCTATCTTTGAAGGACTCATCCTCCCTTGTACCACTTGAGGTTCCATAATGATCACTCTGGTGAAAACTGCTGCCACTATATGAGGTTGAACTAGACTTATAGGTGATTCCTGTTGATGACAGCCCAAAATACCTGAAAGCAGTAGCGTACTCAATGACATATATGTTACAAGTCATGTGTTCAATACAATTTGAGCTAGAAACAACTCCAGAATAAACTCCATTAGCTTACTTATCACGTGTAGCATCAGCTTTATTTCTGACAGCTTGCATTTTTTCCTTATCTTCAAGAAGAGCTAAAATGGTTTCAACTTTCTTTCTTACATTGATCCCAACATCCTTTCCATTAGGCTCAACATACTCAAAACCTGAGAGTGACTTCATGAAAGACAAAACACATAAGAATGACAATTCAAGCATAAATCTCACAGGAAAACCAAAATACAATTCCATTTATGAGTTACGAATTCATACAGAAATTTGGTGACTTTGCTCGAGAATGTTATCAATTGCACGTTCAGACCCATTTGCTATCAAATACTCAATAACAGACAAAGCCTAAGATGGAGAAAGAAAGTAAAGCAAGATTCAAATACATCGTCATATAATAAATGGTAATTGCATATGATTAATAGATGTATTTCAAGCAGAGGAAAGCATTATAGGAAAATCTCCTAAAGCCAGCAATACCTTATAAATATGACGCCAGTTTGCGCTCTTATCACCAAGTCTTGTCCAAAGTACATTCATAATCATCTGGCATTCAGTGCTGATAAGAGCAAAATAATTATCCATCACTGGAGAAAAAAAGTTTTTTATTGAAGAAATCACAAATAAATTCAATTTGAAGTTACAATTTTTTTGTGGCATGCGCGAGTTCAGACAGAGCAGACCCATGAGGACCCCAAGGTTCATCACTGGTTGCATCAAGGACCTGAATTTTGCAATGTCAAGCGGCCAGAGCATAGGTCACTTAATAGAGTCAACAAAAGTAGAAGTTCTCAGTTAAAGTGAGATGAATTATGATTCATTTCTTACTCAAATAAATCATCTTAGCAAACAAAACCAGGAAAAATGAGAAGGTTTCACCCAGAAAAAGAGTTGAATATTTCCAAAATTGCATGGCAGACTATAATGCAAGTATCAGTTGAAATTGAGATAAAAAACTGAAGCTTAACAGTTTATAATTGGTATCTGACAAATTTATATTCCCCATCAACACTTAAAAAAACAAAGCACTTAGCAAATGTTGGATGAAAAGGGATTTAGTTTTTGCAAAGATATGGTCACTCATCAGCAACAAGAAGATTTCATATCTCAAGGAAATTAATTCACAGACAGATAATTATCGGGGTTGTTGGTTTGGCACCTTTCAAATGCATTTATAGAAAATCCCAGCAAAGTAAATGTGACTGATTTGGTCGCATCCACCAGCAAGTTTGTAATGAAAATAAACTAGGAAGTAAATTAGTTTTACTTCATGAACTTTACTTTCAAACCAAACACAAACAAAGTAACTTTGCATGCCAATATTTTACCTTGACAAGATTTTCACCCAACCAAACAAGAAACTAGTAACAATCAAGAAAATCTTCAAATTTTATTCGCTAAGAGTAAGCATTTAGGATAATTTCAAGAATGCAAATTAGAAGCCTACATTATTGAACATGGAAAACCAGCATATGAGTCTTAACATATGGGATTCTATGAGAGGATTCCAAATCCAATTGAAGAGCCTAACAGAAGCATTACCATATAATTTCACCTAAAAATGCATGATGGAATGTCTCCATGAAACCTTGACTCTAATATGTATCATTTTTTCTGACTCATACAAAAAACGGTTCCTTCAGATATAAGTGCGTACATTGCCAAATGTTTCTATCATGCTCTACACACAAGAAATGCATTTGTGCATTCAATATTGTCCATCCTATTTTCCAATACTATTGCCCGAAGCAACTATAACACACCATTAGGACACCACAGCTTGGTTCTATACCAGAAGTCCTGAAATGTCGTTCTTTTTCTATCTCCAAACGAAGATTCCACGCACTAAAACGATAGATCTACAAAGGCTGCCGCAAATACAAGTTCCTCTATATATACCATCAAACGACATACAAGAAAGCCAATGCCTAACCTTTTGCTCGATCTCCGGAACCTTGAGTACTTTTAGATTAACCTCTCTCTTTCTGAAAGGAAAAAAAAAAAGGTCAAAATGAAAAAAAAAACACTGCTTTTCATTTGCACAGATCCAGATCCGCAAGCCAAGCAGGTGGAAGAATCTAATTCGAGGATCAATACTTACATCTCGCGCACCGTCTGGTCCAGAACCTTCATGAAATCCATCGCTAGTTAGATCCTGATGAGGAATTGCCTGAAAGGCAAAAATGGAAGAACAGAAGGTAAACAACGGATCGCGGCTTAGATCCGATAATCTTCTAATAACTCCGACGCGCAGAAGGCAGATGTCGCTCTCATCGAGAGTGTAAGGGGTCGAGCTCTCGCTAGGTTGCCAACGAACTGACCCAAGTTTGAGTTCTGCCGGATGTGTCGATTGTTTTAAAAATCATATTGGCCTTTTCCCTTTTTTTTTTCCTACTTACAAATTTTTGAATTTTTCCCCTTAAAAATTGGTAGAAATCTTGATGTGCTCTTCTTTCAGTTCCCTATTTAAAAAAAATAAAAAAATTTTGTCAAGTTGATGAAGTTCTCAATCTAGATTTGTAGCCAAAGATAATAAAGTTTGAATAGTATTCAATTTTACATCTGGAGAAAATATCTCCTTGTAATCAATTCCATATACATGGGTGAAGCATTTGGCTACTAATCTTATTTTATATCTACCAATTTCACCACAAATTCATATATTATAGTAAACACACTTATTTTCAATCACTTTCTTAGTTTCTTGATACTTCACGTGCTGGTTTCCTTAAATGCTTTCATTTCTTTAATGACAACATTTTTCTCTTCTAATATTTGAAAAGTTTATATACATTTCTAGGTATTGTAATGTCATTGATCTTGGTGGTAAAGCTATAGAGATAATTTAGAGATTGTCAAATAATGTAAGATTGAGTACTTGGTACATGTTTTACCCCTTTTCTAAATACAATATATAAATTAAGATTATCAATTACAACTCTTTCATCAAGACCTCCTCCAAGGTTGATGATTGACAGTGTTGTTGGACTCTAGGTTTCGTTGAATACACAATAATGTGTTTCTATATAAAAGGTCCTAATTGCTTTAGCGAATTGGTAGGAATTTTGAGGATTCACTTGGGAATCAGAGATAGAGCAGTGGATGTCAGAAATGTCTATATAGATTAGAAATATGATAGTTGAGTCTCAGTGCTATTCTTCATTATTCCTTCTTGTTGTTAGTAGAAAAGAATATCTTTCAAAAATGTGAAATCGATGGAACCAAAAAATTTCTAGGATTAGAAAATAAAAGTTGGCATTTTTTTAGTTTGGGGATATCCAACAAATACACATTTGATATTCTATAATCCAAACTTACTTTGATTTTATTGGAGGTGTATATAAAATTAGTGCACACAAAAATTATTGGACTAAGGAATTCAAAATCCTTAAGTGAGAATAGTGATTATGAAGGATATTTGTGGGACCTCAAAAATTAAGTGCTTTGGACAAGAGATGATTGATCGGGTAGGTAGATTTGAGGAAGGCTTCCTCCCAATAGGAGTTTCAGATAACTTCTGTGAACACGATAATTTTATTTTTCTACCACCTAATTTATTTGAGGTGTATTAACACTAGAACTTTGATAATGAATCACATTGTCATTTAAATTTGTTTATAGATGTTATAATTTGATTTGTATTTTGTTCATCAAGTTTTAAAGACGTTTCTCTCATTCAATAATAAATGAATTTTAATGAGCTATTAATGAACTTTTCTCTCTAGATGCTCATTAACTTAGCAAACCAGCCTTATGGAGCCTCTAATGAACATTTATATCGAGCATTGATGAGCTAGTTAACGAGCATATCTAGAAAACTTTCTTGAGTCGATCAAAGATCTAGCCTATTGAACAACTTCATGTTTAAAAACAGTTAGATGGTCAAGCTTAAAAATGATACTTTGATGAATGAGCTTTTTAATGAACACTCAAAACAAACTATCTAGCAAATATGAACAAATACCTTTAAATAATAGATGCTATAATATTTAATTAGTTTAAAATTTAGTAATTAATGATTGTTATGTTATTAGATTATAATAACTATAAAACATTCATATTAGAGTGTTCATCAATTTTAAAATGAGTTTTAATTGACCTCCACATTGAATATTAATCGAGTTTCTAAATTAACTTGTTCATGAGCTTTGTACACGAAATATGAATTGAGCTTTTTATTGTACTTGTTCACGAGCTTTAAATAATATTATTCATGAAAATAAAAGAGTCAAACAAATAATTGTTCAAGCTTATTTATTTAACCATCGAGTACTTAAAAACTCTTCAAGGTTTTTGATTATTTAATCAAACAATCATGAACGAGTTATAATTGAGCAGAGCCACGAGAGCACGTAGCTTGAGAAAGGCTCGCGTAGGGATGGCCTCATACTGCAGTTCCATCTGGTCCATTCCCAAGTTGATATTCATTTATTAATAGAATAAGTGCATGACAAATCAAGGTGTGTGTACTATTACCACTACATACCACACCACCAGGAAGCTCGCCTGTGGTAAGCTAATCTCCCTCACCATTATGAAACCAGACTTGGACCTAACCTATGTTGTTGGTGTAGTGGCAACAACCCTAACAGTTTTGAAGATATCTCAAGAGAAGGTTTTAGCATTAGTGTCTCTGTCCGCCCGATCATTCCGCTTATCACATGCTTGATTCATTCGCAGACCTACATATAGCAGAAAAATAATCGCCTCAAAGTTCAGCTTGATGTTGATGGGTTTTGCAGACAAGAGCGATCATGATCCTTATGAATGAAATAGAGTTTTGTTAAAAAATAAAAACAATTTGATCTTAAATGTATTAATTGTTTTAAAATAATATCATAAATTTTGACTTTTTAAATTGAAATTGAACCAAAAGAAATAAAATATTACTGATCAATTAAGGTGATCATCCAATAGCTTCCGCTTCATTTTTTATAAGGAATGATTTTTATTATATCACAAAATATTTCAGGAAACATAACATATCATCTTTTAATTGATGATATAATAACACAAGATAGACAGAGTAAAGTAAAAACAATAAAATATCAAAAACGGAATCTCAAAGACTTTGCAAGCTTTTTTTTTTTCTGTAACTTTTCATTCAATATAATGTGTGAAAATATTTTATCCTACTAAGAGAGAGCATGAGCCTTAGTAAATATTCACAATATTCATCCCTTAAAATATGTTTAAATGTATAAGTCATGTTTTTAAATTAGAGTTTTAGTTTTGTTAATAATTTTAATTAGATCAATTATCCATGGATTTAATCTTTCAAATTGCTCTATTTATGGTTAATAATAATCATTAAAATGGGTTATTTTTATGAAATTTAGATTTTCCATAATTAATTTTATTGATGCTGGATAACCTTTGTGGACCCTCAAAAAGGAGTTTGCAAAGGCCTGTAAAGTATTTTGGAGGCCTGGTAATAATTAAAATCCATGGGCCATGCTCTCTATATTATAAGAGAGCGGGCACAAAGATTTGAACGGAAAATCAGTCAAGTTTGCAAAGGCTCATAAACTTTAGTGGACCAATAAACAATGTCAATTTCTATAGGAAAAAAAGTTTGAATTAGGATTTTCAACTAAAAAAATAGTTAGAGTAGACTTTAAAGCTACTTTGGGATGGATTAAATACATAAGTCATCTCAAATCAAATCAAAGGCGCCCATACTGACAAAAGAATTGGCACATGTTCAAACAGTTTTCTTTCTAAAAGCCTATCTTTATATTTCTCAAAATATCTATCACCTATTTCTATGAAGTCTATTAATTTAACTTCTTAAAACATTTTATAAAGTATTAAAAAAATATTTTCCTATTAATTAATATGTATACTACATAATATAATGTAAAAAAATATTAACATATACTTTTAGCATATCTTTTATACTTTATTTTGATTGTTTGTTTGCTATATTTAATATTTCATTATAGTGGCTCATAGTGGCAGAGCCATGATTTTGTTCTTGTGGTGGCACAGATCAATGATCTTAAAAAAATCCTCAACCTTTTTCATCTGGGCATGAGACCGACATTTTTTGTTTTAATTTTTTTTAAATGCATTGTTATAAAAAGATAAATTATATAGGAAGAAAAAAAAAAAAACTTACAATGAAGAATATTTGCTCTTCATATTTTCAATACATGTTACAATTTCTCTCTTTGAGTCTTGGACATGATTTGTAGCCACAACAACTAGTGTTAGTTATAGCTAATGTGTGAAACAATGTATGTAAAAAATTAAGCAATTATCTTTCATGATCAAAGCTTTTAGCCCATAAAACTGACCATGCATGTTGCTACTTCCGTCATAACTTTATCCATTTAATCAATATATACTCACTACAGGAAAAATGCGTTATTACTGATGGATGAAGTCCGGTGGATGAAATCCTCCGGTAACATAAAAAATTCGACGGAAAAAGGATGTTTCCGTTGAATTTCCATACGATGGTAATTTGCGCGTCGGAAAAAAAACTTCCAATGTAAATATTAAGCTACAAAACCAATGAAACAAAGATTGCGCTTGTGTCAGTTCTTTTTGTCTTATTCTGGCGTTATATACGCCAAAATTTTTGGCGTAAAATTACGCCGGTAGTACCGGCGAATAAAACATCATTATGGACACCGAAAAGTATACGATGAAGATAACCGGTGTATTGGTAAAAATGTGTCAGAAATAATACATAATTCATTGTATCATCATTTCCAGTAGATTACTGGCGTATTATCCGCCAGAAATCTGTAGCAATAACAAAAAAAAACAACCTTCCCATCCAAGAAACTGATTTATAGTACTTGCAACAAACAGTTACATGCAGTAAACAATTACATAAAATAATAACAAACATCAACAACTTATTGTGTTTAGTGCAATAACAAACAACTACTCATAAACATCACCAAATATTCATAAACATCACAATTACATAAGACAATTTATTCATTTAAAAGTATAAACTGAAATAAATACATATGAAGCTAAAAAAACTAAATAACTACTCTGAATTCGTCGACTCATCCTCGTTTGAAGCTACCTCCTTTCTACTAAATTACTCCCTCATTTTTTGCATTTCATCCAACAACTAATTGTGTTGCATATATTTCTGTGCATGCAGCTGCACTTGCTAATCAACTTGTGATTTTTGTACTTCTTCTACCTTTGCTTGAAGGGCAGTTACATGTTGGCTATATAAGGACACCTGGGAACTTGCTTTAAAGATGGAGCCACTAGAGATCATCCCCTAGTATGCATGAGCTTATGAACCTAAATAATAAGCCCTGTCATATTGCATTCCTCCTATCGCTTGCGACCAAATGTGGTACTT